GAGCAAGTTTTTTTTATACCTTAGACGCGACAAGGATTTCGTTGAGTTTCCCAAAGGCTTTCCCTCTTGCTTTAATAAAAAAACAAAATAAAATCCCTCGTTTCTTCCTGACCCACCCTACTGAGCTGGGCTGCAAAGCACCGAGGAAAGATTGAGAGCGTTAATAAACACCAGCATGGATTTAATGAAAGGCAAAAGCTTTTGAGCAGAAATCGCCGAGCTGATGAAAGCAGAGCGCAGCCAATGAGTATTTATTAAACGAACGGCTGCCAGGATCTGGGGAAAGATGATTTGTTAAATGAGAAATATATACTCTGTAACTGCCAGGGAATTAAGCGTGCCCATGAAAGCGCTGAGCTGCGGAGGTTTAAAGGTGTGTTAAATGTGAAGCAACGGCCAGGATTTCGCTGCCATGTCTTCATTGCCACGTCGCCGCTTTTGCAGTGATGGAAATGTCACCAGCGTCTGGAAAGACCGCAATAATCGCCGCCTTTTTTTTTTTTTTTTTTGAATCAGGTCCCATGCAGGAAGTTGGACCTCTCAGCTCCAATTTAATGCTTAAGTGCTGAAGCCGTGAGGCTTTAATTTACTATTCACCCCATTCCTGCAGTAACATAGCGGTAACCACGTTTCCCATCTCTCGCCTTCCCTGTGCAATAGCCCCCTAGTAGGAACCACAGCTAAAAGGGCCAGAGGAGGCAGGTCCGCAGCGAGGGCTGCAAAGAGGGAGGGAGGGAAGTAGCTGCCACGAGCCGGAGGGTCTATTGGCACTGCAGACGTGTAGCTCGTTACTATTTTAGCTGTATTTGTCTTGTGCATTTGCAGTCAAATGCTATGGACTGGAGAGGAGGGAAACGTGCCACTGCCACATGTGCACCACAGACTGACACTGTCAATTTGTGACTGGCACCAAGACGGTGAACAGGGTACGAATTGCCAGCGGTCAGGCCCCTTGGTAACCATTAACCCTGATGCTCTGGGTGTATTCACTAGCTCTGGAAAGTCCTCAGCAGGTCCTTGCAGGAGGGGTTGCATTAGAGAAAGGGTCCCCTCATACCTGACATGAGCTGCTTTTTCTCTCTACGGTCTCTCTAAGCAGCTGCTATCGTCTCTGCTGGAGGTGGGATGCTGGGTGAGATGAGCTTTGGTACTGTTTGTGCAGCAGCTTCAGTGCTGTCCCAACAACCAAAACAGTAAGGTGCAAATTATTCACAAATTGAGGGCTCAGTTGGAGCCTGCCCCTGCTGCTTCTCATTCTGCCAAACGCGTCACCTACTGTCCATCTCTGGTGTCCTTCTGAAATTTGGTCAAGCAGCTGGCTTCCATCCTTCCCTCCTTCCACGTCTGCACTGAGTTTACTGAACGGCTCCAAAAGTTTCTCATACAAAGCCAACCAGGTTTTGACCCACAGGCCGGGCTGTTCAGGGCTTACATCTCTCCAGCCCAACAGTGGTGTCTTTAGGATGAGAAGCCAAGTTAAGCTGCAAGATTGGGAAAAGAGCAAGAAATCCAGGATTTTGTGCAGGATGGTGGGCAATGCTGTGGATGTGCAACTGCCGATCCTGCTGGATTGGGTCTGGCTGGGAATCCCTCGTTTGAGTAGGCCAGGTTTGGAGCAAGCCGTTTCTCCATCAGCACTAGGAGACAAAATGGCAGAGCCTGGGTTCTGCTTTCCGCGTACTCCACCAGGCCGTGAAAAGGGCTCTGAACCCCAGAAAAGGCCGCGCTGCACTGCTCTGGCAAACCTGCAGCTGGTGGCTGTCACCTGCTGCAACCTTAGAGCAAGGTCTTTCCTGTGGCAGGGGACAGCCGAGATGCCCTGCAAGGAGCCTTTCAGCAGTGGCTTACAAGGCTGCCTCTGCTTCCCCATGGCCATTTATTTATTTATTTATTTATTTATTTTTAATTGGTGCTGCCAACAAAAATCCAGTTGTATCTTGCCATTGGTGGCAGGGGAGGGAAACAGTCAAGTTTTCCCTCTAACCCCAGCGAGGACGAGCCATGCCTACATTCTCGCGCATTAAAGGCAGGAGAAATTTTGTGTTGACTTCAGAGCCCCAATAATTTTCCAAATACCATTCAGATGATTACCGCTAGCAAAGAGTGAAAGGAGAAGCAACAGCGATACACCTGGAAGAGGAGGCATATTTATTTTGTGAACAGAACCAAATCAAAACAAAAAACAAACAAACAAAAAAACCCCCCAAACCTAACCCAAAAGCTCTGGAAATCCAGAACACTGGTTAAAAAGCATTCTAGGTCACGCACTTTCCAAGCACCTGCTAAAAATCTGTGCTAACATCACTACAGGGAACATTAAAAAACCCAAACAAACCAGTACTCCCATAGTGAGTGCATGGAATCTGGGTTAAAATACTTGTTTTGGCTAACGGGGCACTTCCATATGGACCTTTTCTCCATCTTATGACCAGATAAGCACAGCTGCTCTCCTACAGCAGGAAGGGAATCACTGCCACTTCTGTGATGTTTAACAATGATAAATAGTCAAAAACACAAAGATTGTACTGTAAACCATTAAAAAAAAAACCGAGATAACAAAAAATAACCCATTCTGGACGCTTGGCCCAAGTGAAAAAAACAGATACAACACATGGTTAAAAGAAAGCAAGTCAAACACTCCCAAACCTACCAGCATCATACAAAAATTGGAGACAACATGCAGTTTAGCTCACACGAAGAGTAAGCTAGCAAGTAGTCTATGTACAGTAATGTTACAATCACTCGGACGCCTGCTCAGCTATTGCTTTGCTAAATTCCTGGCCCAAGCTACCGAAATCGCCGTCACAGCTAGTTACAGCTCCTGCTACCCAGCTGTGAATGCAGCTTCCGCTTTCAGCCCAGTGTCATACTGCTGTGTTTTAAGCTTCGATGAACAACCTCACCTATTACTGCCCTGATGCTTTCGCACTGAATTGGGCTTGTGTTGCCTTCCCCAAGCTGGCAGGCTCAGCTGAAGCTCTGTGTAAATAGCTTTTCCCTTACTTTGAAGATCAAGATGGAGAATAAAGGTTTTGCATCTTTTCAGGTCTCCCCCAGAGCCGGACTGAATTACGTGTCTGGCGGCAGCTGTTGGGGAACAGTCTCCCCCCCCCCCCCCCCCCCCCCCCCACAGCACCCACACACACTCCAC